GCCTCTTTGACCTGTCCGTCTTCTCTCCACCTATCTGCTCCTCTATCCACCTTCTATCCTCGCCTCCCTCTCTCTCTATTTATTTCAGAGCCCCTTTCCCCTCCCCCATTTCTGAAGAAGGGTCTAGGCCCGAAACGTCAGCTTTCCTGCTCCTCTGATGCTGCCTGGCCTGCTGTGTTCATCCAGCTCCACGCCTTGTGATGCTAACTCTGTGTTCTATGTTCTATCCTCTTCCTCACCAGAGCGCCCTATGGTTAGTCACAAATGGGTGTTTAGTTTTGGGTTTCAATGTCTCTCTCTTCCCCCCACCACCTTTCCCCTGCCTTTCGTTTCCCTCTGCCCTATATTCATTCTGCTTTGGCTGCCACAAATAAACCCCACTACCCCAGTTCCGGATGACACTGGGCAGAAATAAAGGAAGTACAAGAGAGGAAAGCAGAGGATGTTAATGGGAACTGTGTCATTCGGGTGGCATTGGGGCTGGACACGGTGCAGAGTATCCCAATGTCTCTAGTTACAAACGGGTTCCACTCCTGAGTATGTTTGTAAGTTGACTTGTACGCGAATTGGAACATGCTTCAGCGCAGTACAAATAAGCCACTTGTATGTACAAGTGAATGTTCATGCGTTGGATCCTTAAAATTAACAGTAATGTGGGATCTCATTCATAAATATGAGCATTTGCAAGTTGGACCTTCGGACTTTCTACATCAAGGCAGCACGGTGGCTCATTGGTTAGTGCTGCTGCCTCACAGCGCCAGGGACCAGGGTTCGATTCCACCCTCGGGCAACTGTCTGCGTGGAGTTTGCACATTCTCTCTGTGCCTGCGTGGTTTGTCCCCGCAGTCCAAAGACTTATGTTATGATCTGCCAGTACTGTATGCAAAACAAAACTTTTTACTGTACCTAGGTACGTGTGACAATAATAAATTGAATCAAATGTGCAGGGTTAGGGTGGATTGGCCGTGTTAAATTGTCCCGTAGTGCCCAGGGATGTGCGGGTTAGGGTGGATTGGCCGTGCTAAATTGTCCCGTAGTGCCCAGGGATGTGCGGGTTAGTGTGGATTTGCCATGCTAAATTGCCCTGTAGTGCCCAGGGATGTGCGGGTTAGGGTAGATTGGCCGTGCTAAATTGCCCCGTAGTGCCCAGGGATGTGCAGGTTAGGGTGGATTGGCCGTGCTAAATTGTCCCGTAGTACCCAGGGATGTGCAGGTTAGGGTGGATTGTCTGAGGGAAGGATTCGACTGAGCAGCAATGCCACATGTAGTTAAACAGACCTTACGTACTGGCATTGCACAGGGCAGTTGTGCCAATTGATGACTATCATACACACCCTCCCCCCCCTTAATATGGGGCATATTAAGTTGTGAGGGGAACACATAGAGTGTAAATGGAGCAGGTGTGTGGGATAAATTTGGCTGGTGAAGTAGACTATGTGAAAGTGTGAGTTCTCCACTTTGGTAAGAATAATACACAACCAATGGACAGAGATTGCAGAACATGCAGTACAGGGGGATCTGGGCATCCTGTTACATGAACCGTATTATCAAGTTTATTTGCAAGAAATACTATTCAAGGATGAAACCAACATATAAACTGATGGGTGGAAGACAAGCAAAAGTTCTGATAATTGTTTCTCTATTTTATGTGCAGATGCGGAAAATAATTCAGAATGCAAATGGAATGCTGTTATTTTTTCTAAGGAGTTTGGGTACAAAAGTATGAATGTCTCGCCTCAATTGTATCGGGCCTTGTTGAGCGCACACGGAGAGAACAGAGTGATAATCTGCATTGAAGATGTTACAGAAAAGGCTGGATCGAAGGGTTTTTGTCTTATGAGGAGAGGTTGAGTAGGTTGGGTCTGTTGGAAGAATGAGAGGTGACTGCACTGTAGAAGTTTGGAAAATTTTATATTATGAGAGGTGCAGATAGGATTGACATTCAGAATCATTTTTTTATCCCAGAGTTGAATTGTCTAAGACTAGGGGGCATGCATTTAAGGTGAGAGTGGGGAAGTTCAAAGGAGATGCGAGGGGTAGGTTTTTTTACACAGAGTGGTAGGTGCCTGGAACACCGTGCCAGGCGTGGTGGGAGGCAAATACGATAGGGGCTGTTTAAGGGGCTTTTAGATAAGCACACGAACATGCAAGGGATACGGGCCAAGGGCAGGCAGGAGGTATTAGTTCAATTTGGCGTCATGTTCAGCACAACATTGTGTTCCTGCTGCTGTACTGTTCTATAGAATCTAGAGTCATAGAGTCATACAGCATAGAAACAGACCCTTCGGTCCAACTTGTCCATGCTGACCAGATATCCTAAATTACTATAGTCCCTTTTGCCAGCGTTTCCTATCCATATAACCACCCAGATGCCTTTTAAATGTTGTAATTGTATCAGCCTCCACCACTTCCTCTGGTAGCTTATTTCATACACGCACCACCCTCTGCATGAAAATGTTGCCCTTTAGATCCCTTTTAAATCTTTTCCCTCCCATCTTAAACCCTATGCCCTCTAGTTTTGAACTCTCCTACTCTGGGGAAAAAAGCCCTTGGCTATTCATTCTATCTATGCCCCTCATGATTTTATAAACCTCCATAAGGTCATCCCTCAGCCTCCGATGCTCCAGGAAAAATACCCCCAGCCTATTCAGCCACTCCCTTTAGCTCAAACCCTTTAAACCCTCCAACATTCTTGAAAATCTTTTCTGCACCTTTTCAAGTTTCACAACATCCTTCCTATAGCAGGGATACCAGAATTGAACGCAGTATTCCAAAAGTAGCCCTAACCAATGTCCTGTCCAGCAGCAACATTTTTTGTTATTCGTTCATGGGATGAGGGTATCACTGGCTAGGAAGCATTTATTGTCCATCCCTAATTGCCCAGAGGTAGTTAAGAGTCAACCACATTGCTGTGGGTCTGGAGTCACATGTAGGCCTGGAGTCACATGTAGGCCAGACCAGGTAAGGATGGCTGTTTCCTTCCCTAAAGGACATTAGTGAACCAGATGGGTTTTTCTGACAATCAACAATGGATTCACGGTCATCATTAGATTCCTAATTCCAGATATTTATGGAATTCAAATTCCACCATCTGCTGTGGCAGGATTCGAACCCAGATCTTTATCTGGGTCTCTGGATAGTCCAGTGATAATACCACTAGGTCATATTTAAATTACATATATAGAATCCCCACAGTGTGAATACAAGCCATTTGTCCCAATAAGTCTACATCAACCCTACGATGATTCTCCCATCCATCCTCATTAGGGGCTAATGCACCTAGCCTACATATCCTTGGACAATTTAGCATGGCCAATCCAGCCTAACCTGCACATCTTTGGACTGTGGGAGGAAAATTGGAGCACCTAGGGGAAACCTATGCAGACTCAGGGAGAATATTCAAACTCCACACAAACAATTGCCTGAGGCTGAGAAGTGAACCAACATCCCTGGTGCTTTGAGGCAGCAGTGCTAACCACTGAGCCACTGTGTCACCCCTACACTTTCTCCTTAACCAATGATTCCATAGCTGGTTAAGAATCTATCATCTCAGCCTTGAATGTAACACAAGGACTCTGGGCCCACAGCTCCCTCTAGCAAGGAGTTCGAAAGACTCACAACCCTCTGGGAGAAGAAATTCTTCTTCATCTCAGTTTTAACTTGGTGCCCCTTTATTCTGAGATGGTGCCCACTGGTTCTTGACGCTCTCATGAGGGGAAACATCCTCTCAGCATTGACCCCATCAAAGCTGTGAAGGAACCTATATGTTTCAGTTAGATTTTTTTTATTATTCATTCACAGGATGAGGGCATCGCTGGTCAGGTAGCATTTATTGCCCATCCCTAATTGCCCAGAGGGCAGTTCAGAGTCACACATAGGCCAGACCAGACCAGATAAGGATGGCAGTTTCCTATCCTAAAGGATATTCGTGAACCAGATGGGTTTTTCCCAACAATTGGCAACGGATTCACGGTCATCATTAGATTCTTAATTCCAGATTATTTATTGTATTCAAGTTCCACCATCTGCCGTGGCAGGATTTGAACCCAAGTCCCCAGAATATTATCTGCGTCGCTGGATTAGCAGTCCAGCAATAATTCCACCAGGCCATTGCCTCCCCCCTATGATTGTCTCTCATTTTTCTAAACTTCAATGAGTAAAGTCCCAACCTGTTTAGCCTTTGCTCATAAGACAATCTCTGCATACTGGGACATGGCTGGTCAAAGGGGCTTCTTTTGAAGCTGTAAAAACTGTGTGACTTTCCATTTTATGAAATAGCAGGACAGGTCAAAGGGGCTGAATGGCCTCTAGCATTTCCCAAAGGCAAAAAAAAATTACCTTCACATCCCTTTAAGTAATGGTCATGATAGGCGGGACAGATCCTGCCCCTTCCCTTCTCTAATTGGTTTTTCATTGTGAGTGGCACCACGCTACTGATTTTGAATGGCTAACATCAGGGAGGGGCGGCCATGACACCACCTTGTGATTGGTCTAGGTTAAACAATCCGGGCGTCGATTGGATGAATCGGCTGTCACGCAAACGCAACGAAACGCCTATCCGAGATCTAATTGGATTCCCTTCGGAGGGTGCTCGGTTCTATTGGTTGGAACTGCTGTCGGTCAATAATAAATCCGGCCCACCAATGACGCCTGGTGACGCCAACCTTTCCGGGGTCCACGGGCTGATTCGTCAATAGCACGGCCAATCGTACGGCAGGACCCAATAGCCGTAAAGGGGCGGAGGAGCGTTTAACCATTGGCAATATCCGGTGTCAATCACCACTCAAACCGCCTACACACGTACAGCCTATCGATGACACCGGGTGACGCTACTTCCGGTTTATCCTTAGACTGATTCGTCAACAGTACTGCCAGTCGTACGGCATGAGCCAATAGACGTAGGGCAACGGCAGGAGCGTTCTTCTATTGGTGAAGCGTAGTGTCAATCAGCACCAGCCCCGCCTACAAACGGCGTCTAGTGGCCAGCGGGGGACTGTCCCTGTAATGATTGGCGTGTGGCGTGAGGCGGGACCAGGCCCTGAGTCGCTGAAGGGGTGCTGCAGTGGCGGAGGCGCGGCGCTTTCTGCTGCAGGTGCCCCGCTTCCCCCGGAACCCCGCTCTCCCACCGAATGTTCGGCCTCCGGACCCTGCTGGGCCTTAGCGTTATCGCCTGGTCTCGCTGTGCCACTCGGGGCTCGGGTTCGCTCGTCTCCCGGGCTCCTGCCTTCCTGTGCCCGAGCCCCCGGGGGCAGCTCATAGCCGGCTTGATGGACCGCAAATGTTCGACAGGGGGCGAGAAGTCGGTCAAATACCTGGGGTAAGCGACAAACCCGCCCCCCACACACAGATACCCCCCCCCACCCCTAC